TGCTGTCACCATGATACACTCCAACTGTTCAGTGTAGGTCCTGTCACCATGATGCACTCCAACTGTTCATTGTAGGCCCGGTCACCATGATACACTCCAACTGTTCAGTGTAGGCCCGGTCACCATGATACACTCCAACTGTTCATTGTAGGCCCGGTCACCATGATACACTCCAACTGTTCAGTGTAGGCCCTGTCACCATGATACTCTCCAACTGTTCAGTGTAGGTCCTGTCACCATGATACTCTCCAACTGTTCAGTGTAGGCCCGGTCACCATGATACACTCCAACTGTTCAGTGTAGGTCCTGTCACCATGATACACTCCAACTGTTCATTGTAGGCCCGGTCACCATGATACACTCCAACTGTTCAGTATAGGCCCTGTCACCATGATACTCTCCAACTGTTCAGTGTAGGTCCTGTCACCATGATACTCTCCAACTGTTCAGTGTAGGCCCGGTCACCATGATACACCCCAACTGTTCAGTGTAGGTCCTGTCACCATGATACTCTCCAACTGTTCATTGTAGGCCCGGTCACCATGATACACTCCAACTGTTCAGTGTAGGTGCTGTCACCATGATACACTCCAACTGTTCAGTGTAGGTCCTGTCACCATGATACACTCCAACTGTTCAGTGTAGGTCCTGTCACCATGATACTCTCCAACTGTTCAGTGTAGTTCCTGTCGCCAAGATACTCTCCAACTGTTCAGCGCAAGGTCCTGTCACCATGATACACTCCAACTGTTCAGTGTAGGCCCTGTCACCATGATACACTCCAACTGTTCAGTGTAGGTGCTGTCACCATGATACACTCCAACTGTTCAGTGTAGGTCCTGTCACCATGATACACTCCAACTGTCCGGTGTAGGTCCTGTCACCATGATACTCTCCAACTGTTCAGTGTAGTTCCTGTCGCCAAGATACTCTCCAACTGTTCAGCGCAAGGTCCTGTCACCATGATACACTCCAACTGTTCAGTGTAGGCCCTGTCACCATGATACACTCCAACTGTTCAGTGTAGGTCCTGTCACCATGATACACTCCAACTGTTCATTGCAGGCCCGGTCACCATGATACACTCCAACTGTTCAGTGTAGGCCCTGTCACCATGATACTCTCCAACTGTTCAGTGTAGGCCCGGTCACCATGATACACTCCAACTGTTCAGTGTAGGCCCTGTCACCATGATACTCTCGAACTGTTCAGTGTAGGCCCGGTCACCATGATACACCCCAACTGTTCAGTGTAGGTCCTGTCACCATGATACTCTCCAACTGTTCATTGTAGGCCCGGTCACCATGATACACTCCAACTGTTCAGTGTAGGTGCTGTCACCATGATACACTCCAACTGTTCAGTGTAGGTCCTGTCACCATGATACACTCCAACTGTTCAGTGTAGGTCCTGTCACCATGATACACTCCAACTGTTCATTGCAGGCCCGGTCACCATGATACACTCCAACTGTTCAGTGTAGGCCCTGTCACCATGATACACTCCAACTGTTCAGTGTAGGTCCTGTCACCATGATACACTCCAACTGTTCATTGCAGGCCCGGTCACCATGATACACTCCAACTGTTCAGTGTAGGCCCGGTCACCATGATACACCCCAACTGTTCAGTGTAGGTCCTGTCACCATGATACTCTCCAACTGTTCATTGTAGGCCCGGTCACCATGATACACTCCAACTGTTCAGTGTAGGTGCTGTCACCATGATACACTCCAACTGTTCAGTGTAGGTCCTGTCACCATGATACACTCCAACTGTTCAGTGTAGGTCCTGTCACCATGATACTCTCCAACTGTTCAGTGTAGTTCCTGTCGCCGAGATACTCTCCAACTGTTCAGCGCAAGGTCCTGTCACCATGATACACTCCAACTGTTCAGTGTAGGCCCGGTCACCATGATACACTCCAACTGTTCAGTGTAGGTGCTGTCACCATGATACACTCCAACTGTTCAGTGTAGGTCCTGTCACCATGATACTCTCCAACTGTTCATTGTAGGCCCGGTCACCATGATACACTCCAACTGTTCAGTGTAGGTGCTGTCACCATGATACACTCCAACTGTTCAGTGTAGGTCCTGTCACCATGATACACTCCAACTGTTCAGTGTAGCTCCTGTCACCATGATACTCTCCAACTGTTCAGTGTAGTTCCTGTCGCCAAGATACTCTCCAACTGTTCAGCGCAAGGTCCTGTCACCATGATACACTCCAACTGTTCAGTGTAGGCCCGGTCACCATGATACACTCCAACTGTTCAGTGTAGGTGCTGTCACCATGATACACTCCAACTGTTCAGTGTAGGTCCTGTCACCATGATACACTCCAACTGTTCAGTGTAGGTCCTGTCACCATGATACTCTCCAACTGTTCAGTGTAGTTCCTGTCGCCAAGATACTCTCCAACTGTTCAGCGCAAGGTCCTGTCACCATGATACACTCCAACTGTTCAGTGTAGGCCCTGTCACCATGATACACTCCAACTGTTCAGTGTAGGTCCTGTCACCATGATACACTCCAACTGTTCATTGCAGGCCCGGTCACCATGATACACTCCAACTGTTCAGTGTAGGCCCTGTCACCATGATACTCTCCAACTGTTCATTGTAGGCCCGGTCACCATGATACACTCCAACTGTTCAGTGTAGGTGCTGTCACCATGATACACTCCAACTGTTCAGTGTAGGTCCTGTCACCATGATACACTCCAACTGTTCAGTGTAGGCCCTGTCACCATGATACACTCCAACTGTTCATTGTAGGCCCGGTCACCATGATACACTCCAACTGTTCAGTGTAGGCCCTGTCACCATGATACTCTCCAACTGTTCAGTGTAGGTCCTGACACCATGATACTCTCCAACTGTTCAGTGTAGGCCCTGTCACCATGATACACTCCAACTGTTCAGTGTAGGTCCTGTCACCATGATACTCTCCAACTGTTCAGTGTAGGTCCTTTCACCATGATACACTCCAACTGTTCATTGCAGGCCCGGTCACCATGATACACTCCAACTGTTCAGTGTAGGTCCTGTCACCATGATACTCTCCAACTGTTCAGTGTAGGTCCTTTCACCATGATACACTCCAACTGTTCATTGCAGGCCCGGTCACCATGATACACTCCAACTGTTCAGTGTAGGCCCTGTCACCATGATACTCTCCAACTGTTCATTGTAGGCCCTGTCACCATGATACTCTCCAACTGTTCAGTGTAGGTCCTGTCACCATGATACTCTCCAACTGTTCAGTGTAGGTCCTGTCACCATGATACACTCCAACTGTTCAGTGTAGGTCCTGTCACCATGATACTCTCCAACTGTTCAGTGTAGGTCCTGTCACCATGATACACTCCAACTGTTCAGTGTAGGCCCGGTCACCATGATACACTCCAACTGTTCATTGCAGGCCCGGTCACCATGATACACTCCAACTGTTCAGTGTAGGTCCTTTCACCATGATACACTCCAACTGTTCAGTGTAGGTCCTGTCACCATGATACACTCCAACTGTTCAGTGTAGGTCCTGTCACCATGATACACTCCAACTGTTCAGTGTAGGCCCGGTCACCATGATACACTCCAACTGTTCATTGCAGGCCCGGTCACCATGATACACTCCAACTGTTCAGTGTAGGTCCTTTCACCATGATACACTCCAACTGTTCAGTGTAGGTCCTGTCACCATGATACACTCCAACTGTTCAGTGTAGGTCCTGTCACCATGATACACTCCAACTGTTCAGTGTAGGCCCGGTCACCATGATACACTCCAACTGTTCATTGCAGGCCCGGTCACCATGATACACTCCAACTGTTCAGTGTAGGTCCTGTCACCATGATACACTCCAACTGTTCAGTGTAGGTCCTGTCACCATGATACACTCCAACTGTTCATTGCAGGCCCGGTCACCATGATACACTCCAACTGTTCAGTGTAGGTCCTGTCACCATGATACACTCCAACTGTTCAGTGCAGGTCCTTTCACCATGATACACTCCAACTGTTCAGTGTAGGTCCTGTCACCATGATACTCTCCAACTGTTCATTGCAGGCCCGGTCACCATGATACTCTCCAACTGTTCAGTGTAGGTCCTGTCACCATGATACTCTCCAACTGTTCATTGCAGGCCCGGTCACCATGATACTCTCCAACTGTTCAGTGTAGGTCCTGTCACCATGATACACTCCAACTCTTCATTGCAGGCCCGGTCACCATGATACTCTCCAACTGTTCATTGCAGGCCCGGTCACCATGATACACTCCAACTGTTCAGTGTAGGTCCGGTCACCATGATACACTCCAACTGTTCATTGCAGGCCCGGTCACCATGATACTCTCCAACTGTTCAGTGTAGGCCCTGTCACCATGATACACTCCAACTGTTCATTGCAGGCCCGGTCACCATGATACTCTCCAACTGTTCAGTGTAGGTCCGGTCACCATGATACACTCCAACTGTTCATTGCAGGCCCGGTCACCATGATACTCTCCAACTGTTCATTGCAGGCCCTGTCACCATGATACACTCCAACTGTTCATTGCAGGCCCGGTCACCATGATACTCTCCAACTGTTCAGTGTAGGTCCTTTCACCATGATACACTCCAACTGTTCAGTGTAGGCCCTGTCACCATGATACTCTCCAACTGTTCAGTGTAGGCCCTGTCACCATGATACTCTCCAACTGTTCAGTGTAGGTCCTTTCACCATGATACACTCCAACTGTTCAGTGTAGGTCCTGTCACCATGATACACTCCACTTGTTCAGTGTACGTCCTGTCACCATGAACTGTTCAGGGTAAAGTTCTCCATGGCGTATTCCAAGTCGGGCTTAAGAAATCCCGTAATTGTGTTGATACATACGAGAAGTTTTAATCTATTTTTGACATCGTGTTTCTCTCAGACAAAAACGCCAGTTGTTACAATTGTTCATTGAAGCAGCATCATATATATGTGGTTAAATACAACAAACAAGAATATGTTGGATAGATTATACAAATATTTAATCTCGTAACATACAGTAGAGAAAACTACAATCACAACTGGTTCCAACTACGAGTAACACAAATACAGAAACCAAGAACAAACTCGACACAATGCTGCCCTCCATACCTCCCTATCATTCACCTTGTGGTCAAATCTTTCTGCCTCAGACCACACTGGCGCCCCATGTGAGACACTTCATGCCTGCCAGATAAACTGTTTAATACTGGCACAAAAACATCTAGTTAAAGGTCTGGTTGATCATTATCATCAGGTGTTATACAGAAGATTTGATCCACAAAATGATGATTCGACACACATATAGAACTGACCAATTATTCACATCGATGTCAATATTTTCAAGCATATATATAGGACATAACCTAAAACGTTTTCGCACTTATTTAAAAAATATCTGAAAAAAGCAAATGTTCTATTTGCAGGTATATGAGTATTGGTTGTATCTACTGTTTTTTTCTACGAGAACGTGTTAGCCTCATGGCACAGGGATCACATGTGATACATACTGACGAATACATTGTACGTCAAACAGACAAACGTTGCGGCTGCCATGTGGTACATCAACACTACATTGAAGAAGGCACCTAAATACTTTAATCTTGTCAAAAACGCTGCTGACATTCATATATCTGTTGACATGCCAATAATTGCTTTTGAATCAATACCTCATATTATATGTTTTCCATTCAATTATAGCTTCTATGTTCTTCGTTCTGTGATTGGATGATGGTATATAATAACTAGATATAGCATACTAGTACCAAGTTATTATTCCATAGTCAATGTACGTTAAGCATGGTTGTGGGTCATAAATCGCCCTTTTATGAACCAAAACACTCCCCAAAACCTATTGACGGGGAATGATAGAAGGGAGACAACTCGTCTATACTAGACAGCAGCTTGTAATCAATGGTATGTTTTCGCCGGAGATGTGACCCTGTTTCTGTTGCCGCTAACCTGCTGAGAGATGCAGATATGTATTTATTTGAGTGAACTGTCACATTGTTCTCACAAAGTCAAGAGAAGATGAAACTGAAGCGACACAACAGTCTGTAAGATGACGGACACTAGAAGCCAATCTTTGAGGCACCCTGTGAGAACATGCCGCCTGCTGCTTCCTGAAACAGACAGAGTCGGGGGATATATTCACAATGTAGAGTTTCCACGCTTTACGCTACACATTTGTTAACAAACAATTTGAAACGTCTTAACTGCTAACTCACCAAAACGTCTTCTTTAAGAACGTGATACAATAACATACAACGCTGTGTATCTCCTACACACCAATGTAATGAGCGAGTTTGGGTCCAAGCCGCCTTGAATAGTACTTCAGTTATATCAAGGCGTGTCAACTTGTGTTCTACATGTGTTTCAACATGTCTGTCTCCATTACGATGGACCTTGTAACCAACCATCTACAACTTCCCTGGGTACATGCACCATGACGAACACCAGCATCTGCCAATTGGCTTTCACCAGCTGTTCCAACATTTGAGGCCATGTCATAATCCCAAAGCCCATATGCCACATCTATACATTACAGCAAGTTCACAGGAGAGAGAGAGAGTTAAAATTTAACGTCGCATTGGCATTATTTCAGCCACAAAGCGACGAGAACAAGTTCATATATACACGAGTGTCGCACTGCAGTAGTACATGCAATCCGAAAGCTGGTGAAGGGACATAACTCTGTAACACATGTTTTTGAGAAGAGGTGCATATTCAGAACGCAAAGCTGGATTTTACAGTTAAGATCTCTTCCAGGGAACAAAGACAAAATGAAAAGATTTACCCTGTTCATTGTACATTAATCGTATAAAGGCACTACGGTATATACATACAAGGCACTGATTGCATTTGAACCCTCGCCGAAAGTGGGCACCAGATCGTGTAACATAGTCCCTCTTTAGCTTTGACAACTCACCTTGATATTCCCGAGTCCCTCCCCTGATGTGAACTGTGCCAGCTTGTTCTTGAGGTCCGCCACCTGTTTCAGAGCGTCCTCAGCCTGCTTCTTGTACATTGCTATTTGATCCATGAGTCCAGTTTTCGTCTCCTCCGCTTCCTTCTTCACGGTCTGTACTTCCTCTTTGGCAGTATTGACCTGTTCCTCGGCCTTGACTTTGACCTCTTCGACCTGCTTCTTTGCGCCCTCAGCCTCTTTCTTGTAGGATTCTACCTCCGTCTTGTACTTCTCCACATCCTCCTCCAGCTTGGTCTTTGCGGACTCAAGGTCATCCACCTGTCCCAAAATTAGATGAAATCCTTGACATCTCTATCTTTATTCAAACGTTCACGTTTATGGAAAACTCTTTTACAGATTAATATGGAATTTGAAGAACTTACTTCCTTGTATGGAGAACTTTTTTACAGATTAATATTGCAACTGACTTCCTTGTGGCCATTTAACAAGATCAAGATAATTTAGTTCCATGGAAAAATCATATTATCTAAACTACCAGATACATTCGCCTGCTTTTGGAGATGTTTAATAGCATGCATGGCTTCTTCCATGTCCATTTGGACAGTATAGTATTGATAGTATGTGTACTGTGAGACTAAGTAGAATTCTGGTTCTAGTTGTAGTCATAGTTACAGTATGGTGATATTAGAGAACACAACTGTACATGTATATATGACTATTAAAACTAGCGTCTACCTATATATATTTCTGGAATAGAGACTTTAGTTTTGGCTTCATTTTCTAATGAACACTACAACATGGCACACTACAGGTCTGTATCAACGTTTCGTAACATCAGCTTCCACAAACAATGTCAGTGCAGAGTAATCTGGCACTATTTGACTATATAATGTACTGATGCGTGGAAGAATATTGTAGGCGGAATGTACCTGGCGGGCAACACGATACAGGTGTATTGTGAACAAAGCGAGCGAGCACCCTGGCATTGGCAAGACAAGCCATGATTGTTTCTATGTTATGCCGTTACCTTGGTCTTCATGAGATTTTTGGCACTGCTGCCCTTCCTTCCAAGTCCAAACGGCATTGTGTCAAGTTGAGAGGTTTAAAGGTAAATCTGCAAGACAAGTGAACAAATATTATAAGTGATATAGAACTGGAAGTGTATACACAGTACTGTCGCGGCAATGGTAAACTAAACTACCCGGAAAAAGAAAGTATACACTTGAAAACTGGATTTAGACAGACAATCGGTCAAAAAATATATTTTTCTCTCTAAAGAGAGAAGCCAAAAATGTTCACTTCATCAACAATGTAGTCAAACATCTTGGAAAAGACAACCTTTGACAGGGCATCTCGTGCACTGGCAGCCTCTAACGTCTTTAAACGAACCTTGATGGGAATGTCCTTGATGACCCCACGAGCGGCCTGCATGAACTGATTGGTCAATGCATGTTTCAGGTCTTCCACCAGATAAAGTTTATATATAATCCAGGATGTTCTAGAACAAATTTATTTTCAATTGGACGCTTTTGGAAAGTAGTGGCATGGGTCAAGGCTCCACAATTTGCTGTGCTGTGTTCTTCCCTTATGTATATCGGAATTCCATGATCGTGACGTCATATCCCAGATGCGCCCTGATTACGTTTGTCAGCACCATACCCGTGCTCGTGTGTTTCACCAAGTGGTAAACTTCTCATATCTACAGCAGTCCGGGCTTTCCCACCACATCGAGCTGACACAGAGGGATATAAGTGAAATACTGACCAAAGATACCCTAAACCTAGACTAACATTTAGTCTCTGAAATCTTATATAAGACACAATATCCTTCTTGACTCTAAAAATAAAAAAATTCCCTATGCTGATTTCAGAGACTGTGGAATAGAGCTAGCTTGAGCTGGCTAGACTTGCTTTTGTATGCATTTCTAGATTATTATTTTTTCATAAAATAAATATATTCCACGGTCATGGTGCAGGACTACCCTAAACCCAACTCACTGACTTTAGCCTAGTATTCTTTCATTATAGGATTTTGACGCTATAAAGTTTGTTAGGAATGTGGAATTCCGTGGAACGTAATGCACTGAAAGTTACACATTATTTGTGCAGGATGATCCACACCAAATCTGGAAGAACATGTATTCATATTCTGTTATTTGAAATTCTTATGCACGTGTTGTAATTCACTAGACGACTGATATGTCTTCGATCTGCTATGGACAACCCAGTATTGCTATGTCATATTTTCCTCCACATATCAAGTGCATGAAACACTGACAGACATCTAGATTTTATTCAGATTAATTTGCTTCACACACAGAGAAATATTCCATTTCTTGTTAGTAGGTAAATAGCTCCTATCAACACACACCGTGACACACCTAAATAGAAAAGTAGCTATGATTGTTGTTTGACCGCAGTTGATCCCTTGTAGCTCCCCCTGGCGACAACGTTATGCCAGGTAGACATCCTGTGTGTAGAACATGGCCGACTTGTCTTCCAAGCCAACTGACAACATCAGTCATGGGCCATCGACTTCCCTGTGATCCGTCGGCTCTATGTTCGGCTGCGTTTTATTCGGCATCTGTGCTACTTTCATGTCAATGCATAGGTGAGTCATCGATAGACTTGCTGATAGTCTACTTGTACCATTGCTGAGTGTCGTTTTGGACAATTGCTTTCGTTGTTGGAGGAATGAATCATATCATATTGAACTAATGATTCGTTTATTTTCGTATATAAATGCCTTGCATCAAGTCTTTGTAGAGATTTAAAAAAAATAAACTTTATATATATTGATCATGATCATGTTTGTCGCTTTTATTTATAGAGCATCTTTAAAAGACTAACCTGAATACCTAAACTAGATTCAGGCCCTGTCCGCTGTACATAGTCTTTAGACGTAAGGGTCTTGAAAGATACTTCAGAGCACAAAGCTCGAGGTCACGGAGATCTCTCCGAGATGAGGCCAATGCAATCAAACACACCCCTGTTCGCCCACACGGCTTCTGCACAGGACCGCGAGCGGTTGGATACACGTAGCGGGAGTATTTGATTCGCTGTTTGCTCATCCTGAGTAGAATATTTAACGCGGCTTGATTCTAACGAAATACACGATTATACCTACGTATATAAGAGTTTTGCTATGCGGGGTTACGCAGACTAAGCTTATTCAGTGTATGAGGGTGGGATGGAGGGGGACACAGGTGGGATGAAAATGTTGAATTTAATCCTAAAATACGTACATCAATTGAACACCTTCAACAAATATGCCTGGCTTTAGAGTTTATCTCGCAATGTACACCGGGTACTTATCGAGATATTAAAACCTGATAAAGAATACTGATAATTAATGCAAAGATAAAGTAATATCCGAAATATAAACAGTGGTTGTAAAATATAACAATAATCTGCTAATCAAAAAATTTGTTTTAATAAAATACGCTGACTAAGGTGCGTGTCTGGGATTAATGTTATTGACTCAAATATCACTATTATAATATATAAAAGAGAGGAAGCTATACGCTTTTCATCCATGACAACAATCATGACAACACATCGTTGCGTTAATGACTCCGCTACACACCAGACAACGCATGTACCTGACAACGCTAGCATATCCCCCTACATCGCAATAGTCAACATGCGCCCCGCCCCTATGACCTGTATACAGCAGCTCACGCAGCTTACCCCACCCACTCATACAGAGCAGTCACAGACTCTCCCCTTTGTCTGGGTTTCCAAGCAGATTTAGCAAAAAGTTTAACTACTGGGTAAATTGTATATAGAAATGACACAGGTGCGCCTACTTTATACTTACTTTTTCAAAATGTCCTGTTCCTAAAATGATACACTTATTATGTAGAGTGGCAAATTGGCACTCGAATAGATCCATGACCAGTGCCCTATGTTATAATTATGTCACCAATCGGGATTGCTTACGAAGTAACATGATAACGGGTGTATTTACTTTCAGAGTAACATGTCAACGGGTGTAATTACTTCCAGAGTAACATGTCAACGGATGTGATTTCTTCCAGCGTAACATGACTACGAAATTTTATTATTTCCATAGTAACATGGCAACGAATTCTGTGTCTGTGGAATGTGGGTTTTACTTTCCTATCCACCACACAGTCACGAGTGCTACAACAACAGCGCTGTTAAAGTATTAAATACACCTGCAGTTGCGGGACTTGTTGCATATACAATCAGTCTGTCTGCAACGCGAGTTATATTTATATGATATGATTCATTCTGGTCCCCGTTAAAGTGGAAGGCAGCTGGCAACAGATGCTCACATATAGGTTTATGACAAATCCTTTGTTGTACAGTGTTACCTTCTCGCACTATGAGGAATAACCTAGACCCAACTCTACAGCCAGCATTAGCACTAGTTGCAAAAAAACAATGCAAAAACTGAAAGTAGAGACCTTTTCTAGGAATGTTATCACTCCGTTTTAATTCTCTATGTTACAATGGAAATGTCGTTCATTCTTATTACATTAAATTGGAATATTAGCTGAGGATTTTTATACTAATCTGAATTACTGTTTTGTCACAACTCATCATGACGCCTCAACCTTATATGTAACCTTGGTCACCACTGTGAAGAATCCATATTGAAACTGGTTTCGTTCATGTGACTATCACATACCGCAACTAAATCCTAACCTTGGCGTTGAAAGTGTATCTTTTTGCTTTTATCTCCATATTGTGTAAAGTCGGTATTTATGTTACGCAAACTTCATGCCACAAGATTTGTCGATACATCGATTACAGTGATAGCATGCCATATCATACCAATTGTTGTCAGAGGTATTACATAAATAGGTGATTAAGTCGACTGACTGAGTGTGTAAATTGAGTATAGTTTTACGCCTTTTTAGCAATATTCCAGCAATATCACGGTGGGGGACTAGAAGCGGGCTTCAAACATTGTACCTATGTGGGGAATCGAACCCGGACCTTCGGCTCGAGATATCGAGAACGCTACCCCACCGCCCCGAATAAGCTGACTGAACTTATGCTGTAACCATTTCTGTTTCTAATGCCAGCAGGAGCAACTATAAGTTGCCCATACTCTTTAAACCCCGTGTTTTATCACCACTGAGCCAAATGGCTTCGGGGTATTTCCAAGTTTCATGGGTGGTGTGTGTTCACGGAATGTCCACCAGTGAGTCACCACTGGGGCAATATCGACATTCCCAGGAGGAGCCTCGGTCCATAAAACCCTGGTGAAATCGCCATACACAGAGCAACGTCGTGAACGCTGGTGGATCAGTTTACTGCGACGTTCAATGAAAATGGTTCCTACCAACAGAATATGTCGCTTAGTGGACACTAGAGTCCAGTACCTTCGCTGCGGTGCTGAACCATCTCTGACTATATTTGGGTACACGCGAAATGTCACGCCACAACATTCTTCCCGTCATAATCGTTCCTTTATATATTTCCATCAGTATATAAGCGCTGTCTGCTTCTTGAGCACATGTGTTGAATGAACGTCTTACGTTTGACGTTTGCAACAATACAGTCACAAAGCTCCAACTGTACCTGTGTTTATTGCGGATTTACCGTACCGGAAAACGTCATGCATATATCACACCTTTAATCAATAAAAATACTTGCATGTCAAACTAGCGGTGTACGTCAACTTCATATAATTACTTTCAGAATTTTCACCGAGACATTGACAACTACATATTCGGTTTGCAATTCAATTATAACATTGCTCAAACCCGGTAGGGTGTGATGGTAATGTGACTATAAACGTCTAGCGCCTCACGGGAGTTCCGGAGTATACTCCCCAGGGATCCCATGACGGAGGTAAAACTGGTTTCGTTTGGGCCATGAGCATTCAGTTTGTGAATGGAACCTTGCGCATTGCATTACTATATACAGTACCATGTTTGGTACATATGCAGTCCATATTTGTTACATAAGCATTCCATGGTTGTTACATATGCATTCCATGTTTGGTACATATACAGTCCATATTTGTTACATATGCATTCCATGTTTGTTACATATGCATTCCATGTTTGTTACATATGCAGTCTATGTGTGTTACATATGCATTCCATGTTTGTTACACATGCAATCCATATTTGGT